ATGGCATAAATGAGCCCTAGAACAGAGAGACTGGAACACAGATGTTAGGTTCTACAAGTCCAAAATATGTCGCCAGGCACTATCCATTATTTAACACTCAAATACATACACATCGGGGCAAACAGTATCTGTCTACTTGTCTCCAATGGCAATGTAGTATTTCTATTCTCCAAAATAATTCTAATAGGTCAAATAGTCATTAACCGTCACAAGCAGTCCCCCCCATTAATAGCAATATCATTATAAACAGGGAAGGTAAAAATAAGGCTCGATGGACTTCTTGACGCGTTGGACCTCTCGACGCGTTGGACCTCTTGACTCGATGGATCTCTTGACGCGTTAGACCTCTTGACACAAATTGGACCTTTTGACTCGTTGGACCTCTTGACGCGTTGGACATCTTGACTCGAATTGCACCTTTTGACGCGTTGGACCTCTTGACTCGGCTGTCACGTGGCTATTGAACCTCTTGACTCGTTGGACCTTTACTCGTTGGACCTCTTGACCATAAGCAACATCGACGTGCGGGACGAGTGGTTACGTCAAACGTTCACAGCGCTGAATTGGCTACAGGATGGCCCGTACTGTCCGCGGCGGTTCATCCTAACAGGAAACGATGTCATGGCACAGGGCGAAAGAAATACAGATGACACGATGGAAAATTGATATGTCCACACACTAAGGCTAAGAGTCGCGGCGGAGCCCGCCGAAACAATTTCGAATCCCCCACGCGCGGGTGATCCGGCGAAGAAAACGGGGCTTCGGTCGGCCCTATCGCGAGAAAAAATTAAATACCCTCGCTCAACTCTGAAATGTAGCGTCGATTGGGCTTTCGCCGATTGCCATTGTGCCTGGCCACAGAGCTCCTTTTATCGGGAGCTTTACGACCGGTCGTTTCCGCCGACGCCGCTCGATGCCAATTCCTTCCTGGCTGCGAGTAACGCCACGGGGGATCCAATTTTCAGTTTCCTTCGCCGTTCCGCCTTTGAGGCCCTGTCGCCTCCTCCCATTCGATGCCATTCGACCCGACCGTTCGCCCTAGATTGTAACTTTCCGGCGATCTCGGGTTTCGATTGATGAAAACGTTGACAAGTAGTCCAGCGAAAAACACGAGGGGAAAGAAGAGGAAACAAAATTATAGAAAAAGAAAACACCATCTGTACATTTATTTACGAGTAAAGAAAAAGATAGGAAGGAGGATCGAATGATTGAGGTGAAGGTTTTACACTTCAACAATTCCGTGCTTCTTAGACCAGCCCGTTTCACCTTCTCCTGTGAGTAAGATATCATTTCCGGTAGAAAAAAAGAAAAACTAATCTTTAAGGTTGGTGTCCTGCGAATCCATGTTTATTTGTGTACAGCAGCTTTTGTTTATATACTTACTCTCGCATTATACGAAGCAATAGGCGTACGTGTGCCAGGCAAGGTTTTTGTAGCTTGGTGTTTGCGTGTCTGCGTTTGTGCACATGTGCGTATGTGCACAGGAGTATGCGCGGGACGGTGCGTAAGAATGTACTTTTCCGTGGGTTTGTTTTTGTACGTGCGTGCGTGCGAACGTATGTGTGCGTTAATGTACGTGTTCGTGCCTATGTATTCAGATGTATGTTTGAGTATGAGCAGTCAGTGCAGCTGTGCGTGCGCGTGTGCATACGCATATGTGTGCGTGCATTTTCGTCTGTTCGTGAGTGTGACGCCTGCGTTTCTGGCGGATGCGTACATCCGAGCGTGTGCGTGTGAACGGGCATGTGTGCGTATGTGTGCATTAGTACACGCTCACGTGTGCGTCTGTACGTGGGCTTTTGTGTTTTCACATGTGCCTGTAGGCGTCTGCATCCGCCTGTGAGCGTGCGTGTTTATATACTGCGCGCTCATGCGAGTGCACAGGTTTTCGGGTTCATGTGCACATATAAATGGCTACATAAGTTGAGATGTGCATGTGTTTTTAAGCGTTCATATATGCATCTGTGCGTGTGCTTGTGCTCTCGTGCTTGCTTATATGTGTGTATTTATGTCTGCTTCTATATGCACTTGCGTGTGTGTGCTTGTGTGTATGTGTGTTTGCTTGTGTGCGTGTGCCTTTCTGTTCGTTTCTGTGTGTGTTTTTGCGCCTTTGTTTTGTATTGATGTTGCCGTGTTTGTGTGTATATTCAAGGGAACCAGTCTGGGCGCATGAGTGCGGGTGTGCTTCTGTACGTCTCTGTTTGTGGTGCAGGAGTATGTATGTGTGTATGCGCTTGTTTGGACGTGCGAATACGTGAGTATGTGTAGACTTATACGTGCGGTGTGCGTGCCCGTGTATTCGAGTGCGTGAGGTTTCCATGCGTGCGCGTGTGAACCCACTGTTCCTAAACATCCGTTGTTGCTTTAACATTAACATACGAAACTCACAGCTTGTTTAATGAACACTTCCCTGTGCGGCTAGGAACTGAGGGAGAGAAGACAACGAGAGCGCGCAGGGGCATCAGAAGACCGAGCTCTGTTTGGAATGATTAGTGGGTAGACGTAAAGCTACCTGCGTATACGCTCGCATACCGTTTTTCTCTAGCCAACTTAAGCTTTCAAGCAAGCTGATTTTTAATATAGGATATTATACGGCGCTACAATCTGTAGCATTTTAAGGGAAGGGCGGCATTTTAGAGTGCAGCTCTTAAGCTCCCGTATCCAAGTTGAGCGGCGTCGGCGTCTGCGTAACCATGCGCATTGCATTATGGGACGTCACAGTTTGACCGCTAATCTTAGCGAGTTAAGTTTCCCGCTAAAGGTTAGCGGGAAAATTTTCCCGATAACTTTAGCGGGAAACTTAAATGGCGGACAAATTTCTCTGCTAAATTTAGAGGGTTAAGTGTCTACGCTAAATTTAGGGGGCAAATTGGCGTCACTTGACGTCACAAACTAATTGGGTTTCCCCTCGAAAGTTAGTGGGGAAAATGACGTCACGACTTCGTGTCACGTCAACCATGAACAAATTCAGCGGCAGGAGGAGAGGAGGAGGCATGAAGAAGGTAAAAGGGGGAGGGGAGGATGAGGAGGAGAGGAAGAGAGGAGGGTAGGAGGAGGAAGAGAGGAGTGGCATACCCTCCCATCCGTACCCTCCCCTCCTTCTGGTCAAGAGCTGCGCTCTAGTTTCGTATTACAGAAATTTGTAAACGCCTTTCATTTTTCCTAAAGTATAATCCATCTAAGATGTCATTAGACATATTGCATTTTTTTTTCAGATTGAGCGTGATATCCTTGTGATATTTACATTGCTGAGTTTTCCGAACGGTGCTAGAGATAATAAAAAAATCGCAACGTCTCCCGTACACCACCGAGCGCCGTGAGGTTTTGCATACGCACACCTTGTTTTCGTGCAATATGAGAAATGGCCATGGTAAGAAGTTTCGTTCTCCTACCATTTGACGCAATGTGCCTGTGTCCTTTTTAAATAACAGTGCTGATCCCGCGTCCCGAACCATACGGTTGAAATTTACTGCTCATTCGGGTCATCAGTGCTATTTTGCCTCTGATTCCTGTATTGGACGAAGCAGTCTAAGGAACCAATAAAATTGCAGGGATATGATTCCATGTTCATGTCTGGATGGTTAGATTATTTGCTTATGACAAAATCTACAGCCATTGAGTGCAGTGTACATCCATCCATACCGCATGATACGATGCCAGAGTGTCCGGCAGGTTTACTAACCCCATGCATTCTAGAAAGTTCCATTGCACTTAAGTAAACTACACATCCCTTAGGGCTATCCTCTCATGGCTCCCGCGATACATATATATATATATATATATATATATAGTCTGGTTCTGTCATTCATTTATTTCTTACCAAATAGAGGAGTGACCATTTTTTATAGTGTTATCACAACATCTTGGATTATAAACATACTTGCGGAAGAAGGAACCTGAGGGACTTATGAATCATTAAGGTTGATCTTCGCACCTTAAAGACCAACGACCAGTTCGCGCTTTGCACTTTTCCCCCACTTCCTTCTCTCCCCCCTTCTACCCTGTCCACCGTTGCCTGTTTCCTCCTCCTCCAGGGTGAGAATGTCTTCCGCCTATGGCAAACTCTCGCGTCTGGTCGTCGGCCTTTAAAGAGGTGCTCCGGCGATTTTTTTATGGTCACTGATTTGCCTCCAAATTGGCTTAGGACACCGGTAGACACAGCTGTACCAGTTCTTCAAGCATTGTAATAAAGGAAACACATTTCGCGAAGTTATTGAATTTTCGAATTTTGTTTTCACTGTGTTCTCCAAACCGTGATCCCCTACTGGCAACATTGAAGTCTGACGACAGAAATGGTACAAACTGGGCACTAAGCCATGTCCCCAACTGATAACAAGACGTTTGATGGTGGGAAATAATTGCTTGGTAGCTGATTCAATGCGAAGCACGCAAAAAAAACAAAAAAAAAACACTCGACATGCTTTGTTTAGGACTACCTGCGTGACCTGAAAATATGTATCATCTGTGACGTCACACGGCTGGATCGCGCGCGGAAATCGGAAGGTTGGTTACGGCATCATCTTCATTTACGGTTTGCTCAATTGCTATTTTAAATTTCGAGAAAATAAATGGCATACCGTGAAGACTAATGTCCGGGTAGTAAGAAAATGCAATTTGTTTGGGTAGCTTAGGAAACTGCCGGAAAACCCTTTAAGCACACTGCACGCTGCAAGAAATTTATTTATTTATTTACCCTCAATGCACCGAAGGGCATTACAGAGGGGAGGAGGGGGGATAGTTAACAAGGGTACAGTTGTTGATACATGAAATATAATATAGTAATTACTGCACGCTTCCTCAGACACTTCAAAAATATTTACACACTGTTACAACAGCGATACCAACTAGAAAATGGTGAATCAAAAACTAACAAACAAGGCAGTTTTAAAATCAATAATACTTGTTATGGAGGCTATGTCAGCGGAAAGGCGATTCCAATCAGAGCTAGTGTGAGGAACAAAGCAGTTATAATAAGTGTTAGTTTTGTAATTGGAAACACCGACTTTGTACTGGTGATTTACGCGGGATGAAACATAAGTAGGTGGCGTTAGAAGTTCACGGCGCATGAAACGGTTATTTTGGTAAATCTTATGAACTAAGATCAGGCGGAAAATGCTTCTACGTGTCATTAGTGTGGGTAAACCAATGCTATTTTTCATTGATGTAACACTGTATGTACAGTGGTAATCACACTTGTCTATAACGCGCGAGCGTGCGGTTTTCTCCGGGGAGCGCTAGACTGGTGGCATTCGCGGAAACTAAGCTAGTCACGTGGCGCGACATGGAATGGCCAACTCGAGGGGTGTCCTGCAGACTCTATCAGCTTTTTAAGCGATAAAAGTAAAGTGCTTTATGATATATTTTTGTCTTTTGATGACGAAATCGTTGATACGCCTTCATCCTTTAGTTTGTTTATTGTTCGAGCAATGATGTTTGTAAAAAAAGTGCGAGCAGCCTTCCGCGTTCGCCGCCAGCCGATAGAGTGGGCAGGACACCCCTCGAGCGGGCCGTTCCATGTTGCGCCAGGTGACTAGCTTAGTTTCCGCGAATGCCACCAGTCTAGCGCTCCCCGGAGAAAGCCGCACGCTCTCGCGTTATAGACAAGTGTGATTAGCACTGTACGATGGTAATTACAGAGTATGAAACGTGCTGCGCGATTTTCAACTGATTCTAATGTTGTAATGATGGTGTTACGACCGGGGTCCCAGATAGAACAAGCGTATTCAAGTTTAGTACGTACTAAAGTACATACTAAACTTGACACCAGAGTCACTAAACGGAGTTTCAGTGACACTGGTGATTGTGAAATTTTTTTTTTAGATATCCAATCATGCGGTTGGCGTTGTTAGTTACATAGTTAGTGTAAGTTTCCCAGGAAAGATCACAGGTTATGTAAACACCTAAGTATTTGTAAGAGGACACAGACTGTAGCGGAGTGTCGTCAATGTAGTAATTCGAGCATATATTAGTATGAAGGCAATCTTTGATGTATTTACATTTATTAAGATTGAGTTGCATCAACTACTTGTCGCACCAGTTAGATACAGAGTTAAGATCCGATTCGAGAACAGAGATGTCGGAGTTATTTGTTATTTCTCTATATAGCACACAATCATCAACAAATAAACTAATATTAGAGCAGATACATTCAGACAGATCATTAATACAGATGAGGAAAAGTAGCGAATCTAAAACGGAACCTTGAGGAACTCCAGATGCTACGAGAGAAAGTGAAGAGTTAGTACCATTGGGGCATGCGCAAATTGAGAATGGTTTGTTAAAAACGATTCCATCCATTGATCCGAACGTGCTACACGTTCGGATCAATGGTGAGGTTGCTAAGTTTCAACAGGAGTAGCCAGTGAGAAACTTTATCGAAGGCCTTAGAGAAATCAAGGAAAACGCAGCCTACCTGCGAGCCACGGTCAAGGACAGAACGGAGCTTATTAGTGAATAGCAGAAGCTGTGTTTCGCAGAAAAATGATTTGCGGAAGCCGTGTTGAGTTGGGGTGAAAAAAATAACCGGATTCTAGGAAACATGCGAGGTTAAAATATATGATATGTTCGAATATTTTACAAGGAAGGGATGTTAAGGAAATTGGGCGGAAGTTATTCGCGGAGGAGTGGTTGCCACTTTTATGAATTGGAGTCATCTTTCCAACTTTCCCGTCTTTGGGAAAGCAGCCTTCCTCCAATGATTGCTTAAAAACCATTGATAGTATAGCTGATGAATACGACTTCATGTTCTTTAAGAATTTAGAGTTAATATCGTCAATACCGGAGGAAGAAGAGAACTTGAGGTTGCTAATTATTGCAGCTATACCATCATATTTCATTTAATTTTATTTTATTACCTCAAAGGCACTCGACTTGCGAGCGCATGATATAAGGGGGAAAATTCATAATATGCAATTAGAAATTCAGAACAGTATTTTCGTGTATATACTATTTACATCTTAGAATAACACGCACAAAAATGCACTGGGGGAAGCGTGCACACAAAAGAGCAGGAAAAAGAACACATACATGATATAACATTGCAATTTCATATATTGCGGCATAATTGAATAGGTGTAAACAAAAGTTTACGCAAAAAAGATCAAGATGAAAATGCACAAATATGCAACAGCGTGCAAGGCAAATAAATGTCAAGGTAGAGACCGCTTACTAACTGCTCATTCCAAGGTACTGTTCACATTTTAATTTATATGCTGCTAGGTTAGTCTCCGATACTACGTCGTATGGCATATCGTTCCAATCTCTAATGCACATGACAACAGGCGTTGAGGAAAATAATAATGTGCGTGATTCGGGCGGCTGAATCTTAAGTTCGTGATCCGTTCTGGGTGATATATAGGAGGGCGGTTTGCAGTAAGTTTGCCTAAACGTTGATACGCTATTGAAAATGGTATGAAACAGACAGAATCGTGACAGCCGTCGACGTTTCTCAAGAGAATGTAGACCGAGATTGTTTTTTAGTGACGTGACGCTAGTTAATGGAGAATAGTCAGAGGTAATAAATCGGGCTGCCTTATTTTGAACGGACTCCAGTCTATCAACAAGGTATGCCTGATGAGGACTCCAGACAGGGCTAGCGTATTCTAGTTTTGGAAGTATCAGCGAATTGTAAGCAAGCAATTTAATGGACGGAGGTGCGAGAGATATATTTCATTTCAAGAAGCCGAGGGTTTTATGAGTACTTGCTACTATGCAATCTACCTGATGAGACAAGTTTAACGTTTCTGAAATGTGTACACCAAGGTACTTGTAAACGGACACCCTGTCAATGTTGCGTCCTTGGAGGGAATACTTGGCGATGTGGAAATGTTCATGTGTTTACTTTTTGAGACATTAATATTCATGAGCCAGTAGGTGCACCAAGTTCCAATCCTGCCAAGGTCATTTTGTAATATTAAATGATCGGATGTATCGGATATATTCCTGTATATGACACAATCATCAGCGAAAGGCCTAATGGTGGACGTTATTGAAGACGGAAGATCATTTACATATATTAAAAACAAAAGAGGCCCAAGAACGCTCCCTTGCGGTACAACAGACGATACTGAACATTGATAAGCAAGAGAAACGTTTATTTTTACGGACTGAGTTCTATTAGAAAGGAACGAAGCGATCCAGTTAAGAATGCACGGTTCGATGCGGAGTTGTGATAGCTTTAGGAGGAGGCGACTATGTGGGACAGTATCAAAAGCTTCGGCAAAGTCGATGAAGATGATATCGGTCTGGTGACTGTCATGAGCGTTGACATGTAGGTCAGTAATGGACTGGGTGGGTGACACATGACTGATCTTTCCTAAAGCCATTTTTATTTATTTATTTACTCTCAGGGCCGTTAGGCGTTACAGGGAGGAGTGGTGGAAAAGAAAAAAACAAAAACATGTAGACCAAAAAATAGTTATGATATCAAGTGATGACACACGGCGGACTTGAAGGTAATGTGGTCGCTGATGGAGACGACGGAGGCAGGAAGGTGGTTCCAGTTCACGCTGGTCTTGGTGACAAAGGAGTCAAAGTACAGGTTAGTCCTACAACTGGGTACGCCAACTTTAAATCGATGATCGGAACGGGGTCATCGATTTAAAGTTGGCGTACCCAACTTTAAATCGCTGGCTGGAAACAAAGTTGAATCGATCGAGGTGAGCGACAAGGTGCGTGTATATGACGTGTTCCATGAGTTTACAAGGTACACTAGTAAGGGATATTGGTGTATAGTTGGTAGGATTTGATGGTCGACCAGCTTTAAGAATAGGTGTTATTTGAGCATGACTCCAATCGGCAGGAACAATGATAGAGTCGAGGCTTTGCTGAAAAATTGTGAAAGAACGGGAGATATCAGGTCCCTTGTTACTTTTAAGAGTTTTGAAAAAATTTGATCTTCACCGGGACAGATACCGACTCGAAGGTTTTCAATGAGTTGGGAAATACCTTGAGGTGTAAAAATTAAAGGACACATGAGCTCAATGCTGTCTGAAAGCAAAACGAAAGAAGGCAACGGAAAGCGTTCATCTGTAAAAACGCCGGAAAAAAAAGTTATTGAACGCGTTGACTGCGTCGCCGTTCGATAGTGGCACACCGTGCTCATCAGTTAGATCTGGGTGGGCGTTCCTTTCCTTCGGATTAACGGCACGCCAAAACTTTTTGGGGCCGGATAGCAAACTGTCTGGTATTGTCTGACCATAGAATTTCTTCTTGGCAATTTTTACTTCATGTTTGCACGTATTTGAAACAGCGTAGTAATTTGTCCAATGTAGGGATGTATTAAACCTTGTAGCATTCTGAAAAAGCCGTTTCTTTTCATTCAGGAGTGTCTTTATAGATCGGGTGAACCATGGAGAGGCCGGATTCGATGCTATTGAAAAAGTAAAAATGTGACGTGACAGCACTTCTTGAATACTTCAGATCAAGTTCCAGTTTCATCGACTGAGCGTGATGCGTCGTTGCACGTGTAGTCTATAACGAATTGAGCCATAGTCGTGTTTATGTCAACAGTGTCTGCACGTGAATATTCGTGAATTTTTTTTCCCGAGCCTTTGGTGGAGCGTTGAACAGGGAAGGCTGCATTGACAGAAATAATATTGTGGTCACTAATCTGGTCAATAATATTGACGCCCAGCACGCACTGAGGATGTGTACTTAGAGATAGGTCTAAGATGGCATTATTTCTTGTGAGTTCAGAAACCATCTGGTGAAGACCGTTGATACGTAGAGTTTGAAGAAAAGCACTCGACTGAAGTGGGTTAAGGCAGTTTTCATGGAGTTGAAGACTCGACCAATTGATACCGGAAAAATTACAATCCCCAGCGACAAGTGGGTGATTAGGAAATGATTTAGTATGGTGCCTACGGAATTATAGAAACATTAATTGAATTCATCATTCTGCGAATTCGGAGGACGATAACAAACACCGAGGAGCAGAATTCGGAAGTTCAGTTGCAAGTGTAGGCACAACATTTCTAGAGGCGAAATGTTTTCAATGACCGAGCATGTAATATCCTTTCTAACACCGATAAGAATGCCGCCTCCTCTTTGTGTCGTTCGGTTTTTCTATAAATGTTATAAGTATGAGATAAGTTTTGCACTGTTGATATCGGGGCATAACCAAGTCTCCGTTTTAAATATGATATCTGGTTGACAGCTTACGGTGATGTTTTCAAATTCTACTTGTTTTTTTAAATGAGGCTTCGAAGTTTGGCTACTAAAAATGATAATCGGGGTAAGTGTGCAATGTCAGTACTAGAACTTTGGGCAAGTCATTCGTTGGAAGTGCTAACTGGGGAACGTCCTCCGAGCTGAAAGACGGTTTGGCTGGAATGGGAGTACACATAGATCTGGTTGGTTACGTATAGCTTGTAAAATAAATTTTGTACCTTGTTCCTTCGTCAGTGCACAGAAGCGTACTCCGACAATTTTTGTCGCGCCAGCCTGGTTTTATCGGAATAATCTTCCGAAATCAACACGTTTGGATAAGTTACGTTTTTTTCAGTTTGGAAGCGTTACGAAGTATCTCCTCTTTACTTTTATAGTTTAAAAGTTTCACTATAATCGGCCTGCGGAAACCATCTCTCTTGCGACCGATGCGATGCGCTCTTCCCACCTCGCCCAAGTTCACCCCCTAATTTCTTGTTACGAACTCACATATGGTTGTCTCAGCTTGGTTCCAAGTTTCATTACCGCTCTCTGGTGATCTGAAAATAAGGTTGTTCCTCCTTAACTGATTGTTTAGGTCATTGACAACATTTCCGAGAGACTCTGACTGAATTTGCATTGCAGCTGTGCTTTGTTGAAGCTCGCCCAGAGGTGACATCACCGTGGTTAAGTTCTCGTTGATGACTTTGATTTCTTCCACTTTTTTTTTTTCAAAAATTACCAACGCGGATTCTCAGACCGGCGATACTTCCCTTTATTTCGTCTTGCTTTTTTGAGTTCTCAAGCTCATTTTGGGTAGAGTTAGCAATCAGGGCATCGATTGATACCCTAAGTTGGTTAATCTTGTCCGAGTTAGTCGGGGGCCCGGGGTTTGACTCGACGTCGCCCGCATTTGATAAGAGCATAAGCATGAGAGATGTAACGACAAGTAGCTTCAGACAACCCGCATCACAGAAACGGTGAATGTACCGGCATTTGTACACCGAAAACTTTGTATCTCTGGTTTTCCTCGGGTGAAAACAGCCAACCCGAGCTCCGCAGGTTGCAACATCAACGCCCATCTAAGCACTCAGGGGACTCACTGCCTTACAAAACGAAGCAGATTATGCCGTGTTTTGGGCTTACCTGCAAATTCGGGGTGATTAGCACAGAGCTTGGGCCGCGAATCTCGCAGATACTCCGGTGCTGACTTCTTTTGAAGGCCGTGCCGCTATCCCGCTGGCTGTGCTCCGATGCTCTTGCGACGTTGTCCGGCCGGCTCGTAGAGGCCGCTTGCGCAGAAAAGTGATAATAATACTGGATGTATTGGCAAAAAGTCAAGGCCAGTAAAGTTGGCGTACACAAAAACATCGGCGGAAGTAAAATATTGTATAAACATATCGTTTAGCAATGATGCACACTCATCTTGACCTACACGTTTCCCATCTGCGTTTGTAAGCTTCAGATCACCGTGGTTATCATGAGGTTTGATTAAGTTCCACAAATGGCGAACATTTCTAGATAAAACTGTGGGCAAGGTGTTAATATAAAAATTGCGTTTTACTTCTAATACTGCACGTTTATATTCCTGCTCGCCGCAATAATAGGCGTTAAAATGACGGTCTTGTTTTGAAAGTCTGGCTACACGAAAGAGGCGTTTTTTTTTATTGGAAAGTCGTTTAAGTCTCGTGTTGTACCACGGGGAATTAATTACTTTTGGATGATATTGTACGAACAGGAATATATGTGCTTATTACATAGTTAACTTTGAATCGAAACAGACACCAATTTCTATCTACAGAGCGTTCAAAGAAATTTTCCAGAAAGAAACTGAGAAATTCACAGAATTCACTTTTTATAGCCGTAAAATTAGCTTATACGTAATCACGAATCTGTTTAACTGATTTTGGGGAAAGACTTGTGGTAATATTTAATGTAAAATGCAGCAATAAATGGTCACTAAAACCAGGTAGATAGGTTATTAACACAAACAAGGTCGGAGAAGGTTGACAATACAAGATCTAACAGTGAGGCGCAGGAGGGCGTAACTCTGGTGGGGTGAGACACAAGCTGAGAGAAATTGTGCTCCGAACATAATTTAATAAATTTGTGACTGTCAAGCAAAAAAAAAAAAGGGGGGGGGGGGGGGGCTTTCGTGTGGTGTTTCTGATGACCACACAATATTTGCATAGTTAAAATCACCCAGAAGGATGAAGGTTGGTGTGGGAGATCGCAAAGTCACTGTACTCATTACGTCATGAAGTTTATTCAGAAAGTTACCGTCACTTGAGGGAGGGTGGTAACAGGCACGCAAGATATATTTTTTTTGATACACGGAAAGTCAAACAAAAACTGTTTCGAGGTCAGTCGCAGCATTCAAATAAAAGGAATCTGTATGATCGGCGACTGCCAAATAGCGGACTTTTGTTTCGTCTTACCGTAGCTTGCAGCATATACGTACGTATAATTACGCGATGACAAAAGATCGAAAGTTACAACTC